AAATGGGAGAATTGGGATGAAAGCATCTTTTATCAAATGAGAAGAGCCCCCAGACCCCTCTCACATCTTTAATCCTGTGAAAGAAATGGTGCCCAATGAGAAAGAAGAGCATCTGCTTCAACACAGGCACCTTTAAACTCCTGCCAAGGTTCTGCCTGGAAAATAACCCAATGCCAGCAGTACTCTGCCTCTCTGGAGTGTGAAGTGAGCAAGGTAGAGAGAACAGAGTGCAGCCACTAGGTTCAGAGTGTAACCATTAAGTTCAACAGTCCTCAGAGGAAAAGTACATTTGGGGTGACGTCTCAAGGAACCTCACAGGTACCTGTAGAATCTCTCTCCAGAAAACCACACCTACCTGCCTGTATCCATGTGCAGACATTCGTATCCATTCATGAGCATGCTCACACCTACAGGGACATAAAATTGTTTCTTTTGTTCAGCACTCTCCATTGTCTTCCCATCTCCTTCAGACTAAAAGCCAAATTCTTACAATGGTTTATAACATCCTCCATTTACCTCTCTATTTAGAATTGTAATTCCCAACTCTGTTGTTACCCACTTCCTGTCCTCTTTCTCTTCCTTATTTTCTTTCATTATACTTAATACGATTATACACATTTTACTCTTTTATTTATTGTTTCATAAAAAAGATAAGCTACATAGGCAGGGTTTTTTTTTTTTAATCTATTTTTTCTCTACTGTATCTCTAGTACCCAGAACAGTGTCTGATATAGGGAGTGCTTTAAAGTGGTTGAATAAACTAGTAATACATATTTACACACATGTTGTCACACACACGCACACACACATGCGCGCAAGAAGTTTGGCTTCTCGTTGAATCTTGGATTTCCGAGTAAGAAGCTCTGCTCCAGGCAATGAGCAAATAGAATACTGAGTTCATCTTCAATTCCATTTTCTTCCAACGATAGACCATGTAGTGTCACTAGATCCAAGGCTCCTCTCTTGAAATATGTCTTTACGATATTTACATGAAAAGCCTTAGTTATTTCTTTTTCTCAAGATTTTCCTGGGCGTTAAATAAGAAATATATCTATCTAATTTACACCTAAGTAAATAAGAATTTTTTATATACCTTTTAAAATTCAACAAATGTTAATATCAGTATTTCCAGTGTTGTCAGGCATTGTACAGACTTTCTCAGAGGACACAGCAGTGAACAAGATAAACATGACACCTTCATGGGTCCTTACTCTAATGGGAAGAACGAGTATCAGACAAAAAGTTTTGCAAACTAAATAGACTCTTCTAGTACAGTGTTTCTTAACAGCATGGCCCTGAACCAGAACTATCTGGAAATAGTTCTGCAACACAGCTTTCTCATTCTCATTTCATCGCTGCTGAATCAGAAACGATGGGGTATAGTCTTAAACTCTGCATTAAAAAAAAAAAATCTCCCAGTTGAGGCCTCTGTACCCCCTAAAGTCTAAGATAGACAAGTAATAGAGACAGACGTGAAACACCAAATATGTCTGTGGATCAGGGATGCCTACCTTAGTCCAAGAGAGTCAGACTGAAAGATGAGGAGGAGTTAACTGAGAAAAGGAAGGGGGTGAGGGGAATATGCGGGGAAAAGGGAGACAAAGCACGTTCCAGGCTGAGGAAATGCACGCACAGGGGACAGATATGGCAAAGGGCTCGGTGACTTTGCTCGATATCACTAGTTATTACGGAAATTCAAATGAAAACCACAATGAGATACCACTTGACGCGCATTAAGATAGCTATGATAATTTTTTAATAGAATATGACAAGTGTGGACGAGGATGTGAAGATTGTTGGTACCGCTGTTGTGGAAAACAGTTTGGCAGTTCTTCAAAAAGTTAAACACATAAAATTACTGTCCACCCTCCTCCTAGATATATATCCAAAAGAATCGAATGTGCATGTTCAAACGAAAACTTCATAGCAACATTATTCGTAACAGCAAAGAAGGGAAACAACCAAATGTTTGTTAACTGATGAATGAATAAACAGGATATGCTCTATCCTGACAATGGAACACTATTCAGCCATGAAAAGAAACGAAGTACAGTATATGCTACAATATGGATAAACCTTGAAAACAATATGCTAAGCGAAAGAAGCCAGACACAGAAGGCCACATAGTGTATACTTCCATTTATATGAAATGCCTAGAATAGAAAAATTCATAGAGATGGAAAGTAGAATGAATAGACATGGGGTGTGAGAGTGGGCAATGGGGAGTAACTACTTGTGGGGTTGTGTTCGGCATGATGAAAATGTTTTGGAATTAGCTAGTGGTGATGATTGAATAATATTATTCAATCTACTGTATAAAACCTACTGTATTGTACACTTGAAAGTTGTTAAAATGGTAAATTTTTTCTCAATAAATAGAAGTTAAAAAGAAGCTGTGGGTGGGGTAATCCTAAAAATAAAGTAGAAGGATAACATGTTTAAAAATAGAGTTGATTACCAAAATCCAAAGCCAGTTCTTTGAAAAAAAGAAAAAGTAATAAAATAACGCAATCTCTAGCAAGAGTGATCGAGTAAAAAAATGAATGACAAAGGGGCAGTTCTACTGGAGATTTTAAATAACATTAGTGACTGCTATGAGGAAAGACAAGAATAAAATAGTAGGTTTGGAGAGGATTCCATGGCATCTATAGCTCATAATATCAAGTCTGTTCCTCTGAGGTCTGTTTTCATGCCCCTGGCAGGGGCCAAGAGCAGAGACTTGGCATCCAGAATATCCTGCATGCAGAGTGCCACAGGCTTTCTGGGTCCCACACATGTTAACCATCCACTACCCCAACATAAATTGGCAAGCAGCTTGGGTTCCAATTACCAAGCAAGGAGACAAAATTCAGAAATACTGTACTTTTACTTTATTATTAATGGACTCTTTTCTCTTTTAGGGGGATTTTATTCATTCAAGGGACAAACGCTTATTGAAGATTTATTCAGTTTGCAGAAATACTGCTACACACACACACACAAACACAAATCAACCTATATTAATTCTATTTGTAGAAATCTGGTAAATTCAAACAGTGTGCTAATGTGTCTACTCGAGAGGAGTGTAACTGCACAAATGATCAGAAGTTTTCTCATGCTGTTGCTTTCTCAGATTGCAGAGAAAAGGTAAGATGATTTTAATTACCTGAAGACAGAGTACTTTCATATGAATAAGATTTTGAGATGTGCATTTTGGTTAAACATCAAAACTAAGACGTAGAAATAATGTCTTATTATGACGCAGAGCTAAAAAGATCTAGATTTAAATGTCCTCGGGCAAGTTAATTAGCATCATCTATAAAACAAGATAATACCTGCAGTGCCCCGTCCATTTCACAGGTCCTTATAAAGATACACACACACATCTATATGAAAATAATTTGTAACTCATCAAACACTACACTAGATTATGATGAATATTGATTTGTTTGAAAAAATTTTAGTATTTTTATATATATATATAGTTTTAGGATAATAGAAGTTGAAATCCTTATAATCAAGAACTCAGTCTGGAAGTAGTGACAGAAACAGAAGATGGCATAAAGTGTTTGTGCAGAGAATGGCTTCATTCTGTTAGTCTCAAAGCGTTCAAAAGTATATCAAGTTAATGTTGGTGTTTGCATTAGTCAAGTTGAGCATGCACTTGGTATAACTTTTAAGTAGATCTCTTTCAAAGGCCTTGTAAGACTATATATAGCATGATATACATTGGGCATTAGAGTCACATTTAATAAGTGATAAAGGTTGTTATTATATACCTCCACAACTCCCCCGCCCTTGAGCATTACAATATTTCTTGAGCATTTACTATCTACTAAGCACTGCTCTAAGCCTTCTCCATGATTTGTCTCATTTCATTTGAGGCACAGAGAAGCCAGGTAATTTGCCAAATTACCATATCGGAATACATGATGGAGCTAGATTTGAATTCTGACTCCAGAGTCTGAGTTTAAAGAGTGTGGCTGAAAGGTCATGACTGGCTGAGAGAGAGGTGACAAGGGAGACAGGCGAGCCCCAGTTCATGCTTTACCTTATAGGATATGGGTCAGTCAAAAAAGCTGGCATGCCCTCATAGTAAAAACGCCTGGGAAAAAGGCCAATGGAAGATTATGAATTTTGTTACTACAATGTCTGTATATTACTTTTGGAGTTCACATTGATTCTTCTGTAAGACAGATTCTTTTTTTTTTTTTCGTACCCTGAAAAGGCAGAAATCCTAAGAAGCACATTTTATTTAGAATAGCTGAACTCTTGAGAATCTGTCTATTCATTCTCTACCAGGAAATCAAATTAGTATTGAATTTTTCAAATCTATATTCATTCTCGTAATTTGCATTTTAGGTTCCTCGTTTTAAGTTTCCAGTTACGCAGTATCCAGTTTCTTTGGAAATTCATAGTGAGGATGGACAGATCCCAGTGGAAACCCCATATCTGGTTACTGTGACAGAAGTGAATAGGAGGGAAAACTGGGAACTAAGTAGGGCTCGCTTTCTTCTGTAATTATTTTGTCTTATGTGTAATGTTGTTACCACCTAGATAAATGGTTTACAAAAATTGCATGAGAGATAGGCAGGCGTCCTTTGGAAAAGAGTTTGACTTAGTTGGCACATTGCTGTTCATTCTACTTCTATTGTTTCCCACTTATTTCATTACTTCCAGAGACCTGGATTCTATGGCATAAAAGCATGTTTGAAGAATTTGAACTGTGAAACATCTGAAAGCCATTTTGTAGTTTCGTAGCAAATATGATTGATTGAATTTGTGCTACATGTTGGTCTAGTGTTTCCTTTCATAGCTTATGCAGAGTTACAGGGGAGGTTACAAATGGTGTTGCCAGACACTCTACAGGAGCTAGCTTCTAATTACATGAGTATGGTTCTTAAAGATTTTATGGTAAAGTGAAAAGATGCAGAAATATTTTCAAATAAGAAAAATGAAATTTACCACAATTTAATTTTACCTCAAATATATACTATGTTGCACATTTTGTGTTTGTTTATATATAAATACTTTAAGGCAATAGCTAGATAAGCAGACAGGCAGAAATACAGAATTACATGAAATTTTAATCAGCCATTAATATATTACCAAATATCCAGACATTTGATATTCAGTGAGTCGTACTCTGCCGAACACAGGCACCATGGGAATGAAAAATATCCAGTAAAGAAAACTACTCAATACTTTGCTTTAACTAACATGTCCATTTTCTGTGGTGTCCTGGAACCTGCTGTTACTGGCTTTTGAGTACTACTGATTGTTAAACATTCAAGCATTTTGCTTCCTGGTTGGTAAACCACTGGTAGCTTGAAATTAGCCATGGGAAGAGTATTTACACCACAGGCATTGACAAACGCTGCCATCAGAGCCTTTTTCCCCGCTTTAGATCCCATGTTCCGCGACACCACTGTCATTTCTAACCCTTACACGACACATCTGGTTTTAGAAAGAGTTATAAGAAAGGCAGGGGTAACTGATCACTTTTTTTAGAAAAGATTTCGGTGATCCTATCATGAAACTTTTCCGCCACCTCGTTTAAAATAATTTACCAATCACTGAGGTGGTCCTAAAATTATCTCATTGCCAAAGACACAGAGTATGTGCAGGTCAGGATTGATCATGAGCATGGAGCTGGAAGAAAAGGTCAACCTGAACTAAAGTGGTCAGAGGTCTCGTCCTTCCTGATGATGCCCTCGAGAAGATGCAATGTCACATAATGAGGCCTAATCTCCCCTAAATACATCTTCCACAAAGTCGAGCAGAACTAAAAGTCTGAGATAACTGAGTCATGTTATGGAGCGGAAACTTTCCTTGTACTTCAATGTATGCAACAAGTTTTATACAAAATGAGAAAATAGCATAAATGTGCTTAAAATATGCTTTATGTACTTCTAGAACACACTGTACCCGAAAATGTAAAAAAGTTGAAAAATTACTTAGAATCTATTCTTCATGCTCCGGTGTATAATCCTTCAGGCCTCAACTTAAGTATAAAAGTAAGTTGGCAGCATTTGCGTTTTCCCTGCTTTGAGTTTAGATAAAAGTTACATATCTAAACTGAGATCGGTTTTAGTTTTAAAGTATAGATATCCATAAGTGGTAGAAATAGCATCTTTAAAGTATATGGAGAGTGTTTCTTTTTCCTCCATTTCCCTTGATGTTAATATTTCTAAAGTTTTCTGAAAGTCGAATTTAACTCTTATTTTTTGAGCTGATAGGCAAGACGAATACATTATCTGCTAAGTTGGAGCAGAAAGGGTGTTTCCAAAAGTCAGGGGGAAATGGGCTCAGTATTCTTTACCTGGAGATATACAGACACGTCTTTTTGTTTCAGCTGCCTGTAAGAACACATGAAAATATTTACAAAGTAGGTAATTGTTGAGAAAGCCAGTAAAAGGAGATAAAGCAAAACCACGAATAGGAGGGTAGATTAGCCCAAAGTATGCATCAAGGCCGCGCTGGGTTTTATATTCCTCTTTCTTCGTTCTAAATATAAAATACAGTATCGGCTATTGAATCCCTCTGTTTCAAACTCTTGTCCTTCTCCCTCCATTTTTATTTTGAAAAATAAAGTGTGTGCCCACAAGCCTTTAGGGGATTGGAATTTTGAAAAGCAACGTCTATAAGGAGAGCGGCCCCAGTGTATATTTTCACTTAAAGGAACGCCTGTTGCTGCTGCTAATGATCGGTCTGCTTCTTCCACAGGGCTCCGAGCTTTTCCACTTCAGAGTGTCCGTTGTTTCGGGAGTCAGTTTTTGTAACTTAGTCGAAGAATTTCAGGTACAGGGGTGGTGGCTGGGGAAATTACGTGAGACAAGCGTCAGTCCAAGAGACACTGAAGATTTAAAAAACAGCAGAATTTGTGTGATGGACAGGGCTTGGAGACGGGATCCTAGAGAATGACCTCCTGGTGACATTGTCAGTAATGATGCAGTTAGGGCGCATGGCAGGGGGAAGGACTGACCGATGCTGGGAGGTGCCTGTATTTGCTTTTGTTTTCTTCCCACCTCCCATGGTTAGCTTGGTTTTCTGACTTTTATTGCCCTTCCTCTCAGCCCCGGCTTCCCACAGAGATGCATGTACATCCTCGTTTTCACTGTTATCCACCCTTCGGTTATTTGCATTGTTATAGGAGAGTCTTGAATGCTGCCAAAGCTACCAAGATCCCAAAGAATTTGGAACCAAAAACGAGTCTCTCCCAATCACCCCATGATGTGCAATGACACATTTTTGCTTATTCTTATAATGACATCTGCTGCCTGTGGGGGGTGGGCAGGAATAAGGATTTGATTAAATTGACTGATGGATGACTCGTTCATTGTCATATGCTGATACCACATTATCAAAAACAAAATCAATCTCTTTCTGCTTTCCTTTTTCTATCCTGACCCTGCCCCAAGGCCAGCCCCCGTGATGGGTCTGCACAACTGCTATACTGGGTGGCCGTGACAGCCGTGTAGACACCTAAGACCCTGCGAGAAAATCCATCCCACTAGATAGAGGAATTAGAAAAAGAGGCACCTGTCCTATGAAGAGCATGAGAGGAGATCCCCAGTATTTTTATCTCTCTCTCTCTCTTTTTTTTTTTACCTCTTTGTCTCAAAGGCAGTCCCAGTTGCAGGTCACAGCACAATAATATGGGGAGCTAAAATTCTCACAGAAGCTCAGCTTTCTTCCCGGAGGACTAGGAAAAGGGCCTCTGGGAGCAGAGTGTGGGGAATGTCCCTCAGAGGAGAGAGCTGGGGAAGAAGATTGCCAAGCACGAGTCCCAAGCAGCACATGAGCACAACACAAATGGATATGATAGCTTATGTCCATTCGGCCAGAATGTAAGGTTCTACCTAAGAAAGTAGAGAGGTTAGGAAGCAGTGTGTTTAGAACATGCTCTTTCAGGATTCCGGGGTTTAACCTTGTTTTTAGACCTGGCAAGGAGTAGTTAGTCAAGATTGGAAGGAAAACACTTGAAGGAAACTGTTTTCAAGAACTTTAGAGGTAGTTTAGCTGGAGAATACAGAATTCAGAGGTGATGGAGGTTTATACTGTTAAAAGATAACGGATGGCTTAATTGAGCAAGTGATTTTTTTTATATGGTCTGGTAAGGTGACTAAAATTTCATTTAGGTAGAAATATATAAGGAAGGCATTCTGGGTGGACAGAACCGCAGAGGCAAAGACACAGATATGGCAAAGCATAGTAAAGCCTCTCTTGAATAGCTTATGTCCATTTGGCCAGAATGTAAGGTTATACCTAAGAAAGTAGATAGGTTAGGGTTGTGGAAGACCTTGAATGTCAGAATGAGAATTTTAGAACATCCCTATCAGCAGTGAAAAGCTATTAAACACTTTTTTTTTAAACGGTGTTGAGAGATGGGCACATGACCTACAGCAGCCCAGTCGGAGTGAGTCACAGGAATTTTCCTCACAGTGCTGGAACATGGCCTCACTCTTTACTGATGACATTGAACAAGGAAGCTTGTAGCCCCGGGAGCTGCTGTCAGCCATGAGGGCTGTAGGGGCTGTGAGGGGAGTTATCCAACACTGAGGAAGCAGAACCGAGAGATGGGGGAAAAAAATTATGATTACAAAGGATAGTTCCCTCTGGCTCCCCTGAACTTTAATATAGAAAAGAAAATGCACTTTTACAATTACATGTAGCACACAATTGTCTCTCTCATTGGCCACAGACTGGATTTTTCTTAGCAAAACTAATTATCCAATCTCCTCTGATAGTCCAGCTTAAAAGAAAGATTTTTGTTATATTGCAGTGGCATACGGAAGACCACAAGTAGAATATCACATGCAATAGCTAACATTTTTCTATCGAATCCCAATAATTCCAGTACCATTGGACACATAACCTGAGCCCTACTGTAAAATAAGAGATGGTTAAACCAGCTGATCCATTCCCATGAGGATAATTATCTTCTCAGATGGGAAAGAATGGTTTCTCACTACTTTCCAAACCACTTGGCCAGATCTACCTTTCAAATTTATAACACCCTACTTCTGGTACCAGTCGTGTATGGTAGAGATTCTTTTAGTTGCAAATAAAGCAAACTCGTTTGTTTTGTTTTTGTTTTTGTTTTTGTTTTTAAGTGTTTTATAACAGGCTGCTTATAACAGATTTTATAACAGATTTAAAAGATTAATCTGGCAATGTTGTTATGTCAATATGGATTGACAGCTTGTAAAGGAGGCTATTATCATAGCTTATTCATACCAAGTGAGTAAGATCGCTCATAATAACAGTATTGAAAGTAGAATAGAAAGAATGCATCCGAAAGGAAATATAAAAGAAGTGATAGCATTTAGAGACTGTTTCTAAGGAAATAGATACCTCCCTAGATCACTGAGGGTACCTTTAACGGAGCTATTACCTACTGTCGCTTATTAATCCTTTTTATTGCCCTTAGCATTTTCCCACATCCCCCACGGTCCCATTTCCACTCATCTTAACTTTCTTCTACTTCAAAAGATGATCTTGCTTCCCCTTTCACAGAGAAAATGTTAGCCACTGGGCTTTAACTGCCTTATTCTCTGTTTGCCTCCACTTCTACATCGAACGTAAATGTCATCCAACCTTGCCTGAAGTCTCAGAGAAAAAGGCACCACTGTGCCTCTCTGACAATAATCCTATTTCTCCTCTAGGAACTCATTTTCACTAATTATTCAGGCAGATTTTGAATACACAGAAATTTCCTGATGTCAGCCATTATATACAGGATTTTCAAAGAGATGATGGCTTCAAATTCAAGCACATGCTTATTCCCTCTACCTAGAATACCCCTCCTTCTCTCCCTTGTTTGTGAACTCGCTTATTTTCCAAGATCCAGCTCAGAAAATGCCTTCCACGACTAGCTGAGGCAGTTAGGCGTTCCCTAACCGTGTGCCCACGGCACCTGGCCCATTCCTCCACAGCTGAAAGCGGAACGTCTTCCGGCCATCTGAGTGTTCTATCTGTTGACCTCTGCCATTAAAGGCATAGGATAAAGCCATAGGCTACTAAATAGAATTCCTTTCCCCCTATCTCTTGTGTGTATATTACTACTTATCAAGGGGTCAGGAGACTGTTTCCAAGCTCTGTGGATGCTGAATATCGTTATAAGACTGGGCAGAATCTCGCTAAATGATTTAAGTGTCTGCACCACGTGGAGTCATATAAAGTTCAACATTTTAAATGACTAGATCCGGAAAGCGTAAAGCCTGTGCTTTTTCTGTTGCAGATTTATGTTGACGAAGTACCGCTGCCATTCCCAGGACACACGCTTATTGCCATCGCAACCGCTGTAGTGCTAGGGGGATTGATTTTCATCGTTTTTATGTTTCAAATACGTAACATCCACCCGTGGGATAAGTGCCAAAAATTGATTAGAAGAAACAGAGTGAACTTACAATTATCATAATTTTCTCTTTATTTCTTAGTTTTATTAGACAATTCCTAGAACAATGTGTTTAAGTGTTAATATAAAAACTAGATAACATGCTATAGAAATACCATTATAACTCAAATTGCTGTATGTTAATATGTTTACCATTCCCTTCTCTTACTTTAAATACATAGAAAATTTCTTTCGTCGACATTTATATGGAGGATTTTCCTTGAGGGTTTTTGAAAAATATAAACTGATGATCATCTCTGCTGTTCGGCTTTTATTGACTGGAGCCCATTCTGTAGGATCAGAGCACCTGGCTCCTGAGTCTGAGTGGAACACAGTCCCGCCAGGTGAGACAGGTGGTGAAGGAGGCCGGTCTGCAGGTGTGCTTTCGGAGCCTCATAGGAATTAAAGTCGAAGTCATTTGGGTTTCTCAAAGCAACTTCAAAACTGCATCGCGGCTCCCGAAGAGAGAGAAATGTGCCCCCCATCATGGGAATGTTGGAAGAACATGACGTCCGGGTGAGATACTGACCTACAAACCATCCTGTAGTGTGTACAGTTCTAAAAGCTGAGCCTCTGTGTGCTCTCTCCGAGCACTTGGTCCCAAGTGATCGGAAGGTGGCCAGTCCTTCAGAGATGAGAGTCACTCTCCCGGGAGAGCTCAGGAGGGACAGCACATGCTTTGACAACATAAGGACAGGTTAGGCACTTGGTCCAGAAGAACCCAGTTCTGGGAGCCGTAAACCGTGGCCGTGTCGTTTGTCATGGAAGTTCTTTTGAGAAGGCTGGTGGCAAAGTAGATACAAGAATCAGACTCAGGAGCCAGACGTCTTGCGTTCGCCACTTCCCAAATGTGTGACCTGGGCGAGTTACTTACCTTCTTTGTGCCTGAGATTTTTCACCTGTGAAATGGGAACAATATTAATACCTACCTCATAGAGTTATTGTGAGGGTGAAATGAATTAATAGATCTAAAAAAATAGTACTCAACTTGTGAATACTATAAATGTCAGCTGTTGTTATGTTGCAAGTAATAGAAAGTGATTCTCTCTAATTACAATAAAAAAGGGAAATTTATTGAAAGGATAGTACGGAAAGTCATATAATCAAAGCAAAATCTAGGCAATCAGTTCTTGTCATGGGCAGGAATGAAAACCTTTTTGGGGACCTAGGGGATCGGAGTTTGTCAAGTTTTCAGAGCACACCTCAGGCCAGGGGTCTAGAGATAAAACATTGCTCAGTGGTTAAAAATGTAAGTCTAGGGTCTAACAGCCTGGGTTTTTTTTCTTTTAATCAACTTTTTAAAATGTTAGAATAGTTTTAGATTTATAAAAAAGTTTTGAAGATCGTACAGAGAGTTCCTAGATAATCCACACTCCGTTACCCCCTGATATTAAACATCTTAAAGCTGATTTTTCTCTAGCACTGGTTAAAAGATATTTAACCAGTCTGAGATTCCATCCCGCGGCTTATTACATGTCACCTTTTGGCTTTCAGCATTTCAGCATAGAGGCTCATGCCGTGCACTCACATCTGCCATCCTGTACATGCAGAGATGCCCCTGCTAAGACCATCCAGCTAATCCACATGCAACCACAAATTCATTCACCTATTCCCTTCAAAAAAGACGATCCAAAGTCATACATAAACACAGGGCTCAGAGGTCATATCATAGAGCCACTCTTCTCGGAGTCTAAATTCTCGAGGTGCCATTAATTCTCTTCCTTCCTTCTCAAAAGGGAGAAAATGATGATAATTATTATCCTTTACCAGAAAAAAAAATGTGAATACAATTTATGACCTTTGTTTCTATAACTAATACCAAGGGAGATGTTAGAGTCAGCGCTCTGCTACACATCCCTGTGCTCCCTTGCCTTCGAACAGCACCTCTCACTCCGCACTAGGTCAGATACTGAGCCCAGAAGGATGAACCATCTTCGTTTCTGAAGGGTCTGAGCCTTTGGTAACCGCTTGTCTATTACTGTAAGTTACTGTCCGTCGATCTTTATCCTTGGGTTTGGTAGTAGAAGTTTGTGGCTCAGGATCCGCCCAAACTGATCTTTGATTCTCATTGTACTATACCATGTTTACTTTTCCCCAATAGGATCGATTATCCTCTCTTTTGGCTGTTTTTCTAATATACCAGAAAACAAAAATGGCCACCAGGCAGTCTCAGTCTCAACTGAGTGGCATCAGCATTGTGTTCACGGGTAGAAGCGTTTCTACACCGATGAGATAGGCCACTTGATCATAGGAGCCCAAAGCCGAGAGCACAAGAAGCAAAACTTTTGGTAGTGGTCTATTACGTGAATAAAAAGAACCGTTAACTCTCTACCCCTTGTTTCCCACATTAATGTGTTCTCGCTGTAGGAAACATCCCTGTATGTCGGGGATTACCGACATGGATCATATATTTCATCCAACCAGAGAAATCACCAGTGTCCGATGGGCCACCAAGCATAAACTTCCCATAGGCCTTCTCCTCGTATCTCCAGGTAGCAAGACCACCTGTTTCTGGGTGATGGACCCCATTAAAGCAGTGAATCTCCAAAACATCACCCCCTGGCCTCAGTTTTGTTTTTTTTTTTGTTTGTTTTTTTTTTTGTTTTTTTTTTTGTGAAGTGATTGAGAATTGGGTCAGAAGCAAATTGTGAGGAATTAAAACATTCAGAGTCCCAGAGCACTAAAAACATTCTGGCATCTCCCCATGTGTAATTAAAATGAAATAGTTGATATGGTCTCTATTTGCTTCCACCATGGCATACTGGTGGAAGAGAAGAGAAGGTGTTGGTGCAGCCCATCAACCTCATCTTCAGATACTTGCAGAGTAGATCTCAGATTCAAGTGTGGCTTTAAGAGCAAGTGAATATGCAGAGAGAAGGCTGGCTGTATCATTGGTTTCGATGAGAATACGAACCGCGTATTAGGTGATGCAGAAGAGATTCGTTCTAAATGAAGTCAAAGAAAGAACTGGGTCCTGTCATTAAAAGGAGTCAGTATTACTCTGCTCCAAAGTGTCACCAACTAAAAACGGTTAATGAAGTGAGAAGTTGTTGAGAAGGCAAGATAGTTTGTGTTTTCTAGGTGTCCTTTGTTGGGGGTATAGTCTTAAAACATTTCTTCATGTTGTTTTGATTACCCTTATGTTATTACTAGAGGACAATAAATGCTGCGGGATTTGTTGTTTTTTTTTTTTTAATTGAAATAGTACAAAACTGAAATGTATGTGGAAATGAGACTAGCTTCTTTATAGACCTTCTGATTGGAAAATTCTGAATAAATTCATCGGGGTTTTACTATTCTCATTTTTCCTTTTTGGTTACTCCGTTCCTTGTGTTGGTATATAAAGTCACAGAGATGGAAGAATTGCCACAGCAGCATAGGATGCATTCAGAGCAAATGGGGCAGACCTGCTTACTGTATAATAAAGATACATCTCTTTCTGGAGCAAAAGGCAGCATGCTTACTGCCCATTATAAAAGATTGGAGTTCCTTAAGCTGAGAGTTCCTTTCAGGTAACACAGTTCACCATAGGTGCACGTGTCATCTGGCCCTCCTTGTATTAACTTTGTATTAACCTGGGGCTCAGGTGCAGAAGAGGGTGCCAAAATGCTGACACTGGCCACTGCTTTTGCTGAAAGTAATCCACTGTCCTCTGTTTTGTCCCAAGAGTCCCTCTGTTTTCAACCAGCATCCATGGAACTACCTTGTTAGTTTACAAGTAGGATAAAATCTCAGACCCTTCGCAGTTTTGTTTTATTTACAAGAAATTTGAAATTTGTTGACAAGTCTGTTTCTTCATGAGAAAAGAGTAACCATATTTATACTGCAACCTGAACTGGGCTAGATCCCACTCAAAGCATCTGCTTTCAACCAAAATGCACGAGAGCAGAGTATTCTGAATGGTATGAAGTTTGTGCTGCCCTGCATTCCCTAAATGACCTACCAGGTGTTGTTTGTCTTCCTCAGTGGTAGAGAATGCAAGGTGCTCTAGCCTGTCCTTTGCTTTGGAATGGGAGATCCCCAGGGGCGCCAGCCTATGGAATTTACTCAAACTTTGCTACGGTGTATTCTTGCTGAGTTTGATCGACTCCATCACATGTGTACCTTATCAAGATATATCAGAGAGTAGCTGCTTCATGTTCTTCACACCCCTGCAGCATAATGTTCTGTAGCCTAATCAGGTAGTCGCCCCACTCCCCACTAGACTGGGGCCACAGCCAGAAGTGGCAAAACAGTAAAAGCACACTACTGTCCTGCAAGGGGAAGGCCTGTGCTTGAAATAGAGCAATATGACAAGGGCCTTCCTTGGTTGTCTCTGTAGCATGATGATTGTGCCCACTCTTCTGTCATTATGGTGACCACAGTGGACGTGGCCATCCTAGGTACCTCTCACTTCCAGGAATACCAGGAATCCAGTTCTAACCACAGCACCACTCACCCTGATCCAGCCTCACCACCCAGTGTGGCAGTTAGGAGCATGGGCTCCAGAGCGGGAACATCTGGGTTCCAGTGCTGTCCTTGCCACTTCCTAGCTGTGTCATTCTGGGAAAGTTATTTAACTTCTCTGTGTCTCAGTTTCTTTGTCCATATGATGATAATTATGTTACTTGCCTCATTGAATTGCTTGGAAATTGAAGGAGTTTATACACATAAAGTGCTTAGAACAGAGCCTGGCACCTCGCAAGTACTCTAGATGTGTCAGCTACATACGGGGGAGGTTGGGGAGCACGCTTGGCGAGAAGGGGGAGAGAGACTGCTAAGCGTTACTAGTCTGAATTCATCTCTCTCCACTGGGTCAGGTGCTCTCTGGCCTTTCACTGTCACCTAGCATGGTGCAGATATTGGGCTGAATTTGCACTATTCGATCCAGTCCTTTAGAACCCCAGCTAGCTAGCACATTGAATACAGTATCAGTATGACATGAATGAAGAATTGAGTACATGTTATGTTCTTCCGTCTTTGCTTAAATATCTCAAAATTTCTGGCCCATAAAAATTTCCTTAGAGTTTGACAATAAAATGAATCCATGTCTACAATTTGCAATTCTACGGTGTAACTATTTTCTGTTCTGATTATACTTCACACCTTCCTGTCTGTTTTGAGTCAGAGTCCACCATTTGACATAGATTGGGGCATAAGAAGGATTTTAAGATTTAGCGTGCAAGGGAGGCCCATCAGGAAATGGCAAATGTTTCACTGAAGGAAGAATTTAGATGATACCTTGGTTGGAAGAGCATTTAGTCCATTCGTACAGCA